CCCTTCCATACAAATGTAATTGATATAAATCTAAAAGTTACCATCATCAAAATATTTGAGGTTTTCAGGTAAGGAGAATTAGCACTATAATGTAATTTGATAAAATACCAATGAAATATGCAGTTCTGTGCAAGTGTTTGGAGGCATCTAAGCCCTAAACCTTCCTCTCACTAACTTCAAGAAGCTTGATTTCTCAACATTCAATCCTTTCTTTGGAATATAGTCTTTTCCCCTGATCTTTCCTCTCTTCTCTGCCTAGCAAAAGATTTTGTAAACTGGAGTTGAGTGTTTTTCTCTTCTCACATTTTGCACAGTGCTGGGTAAGGCTGAAGAGCCAAGGTTTCAAAGTGTGCCCACATCTATCTTTGCAGTCCAAATTCTCTTTCTAGGACTTGGGCTTGCATATCTAGTTACTGGACTTAAGCTATAGATACCCATGGAGTCACCAGGCTGGGCTAAGAAACCAGCAGATAAACATAGCAAATCCTTCTGAAACATCTTTTAGGCAATGTTTTGGGAGAAAAATCATATTTAATATCCATATAAATATGAACCTATTACAGAGCAGAAAATTAATATGAATTTTTAGATAAAAGTGAAGGACGTCAAATAAGATTACTCTTGGCTGGGGGTGGGGTAAGTATATCATTGTTGAGAGATATTTTGATAGAAAAGTCTGAGAAGCTTGGTATTATGCTAAGTAAATCTACCTTATAAATATGGATTAGTATATTTGTGTGTGAATACTGAAGCAGAAGTGAAAGGAGGTTTAATAATAGGAATGATCACAGACAAACTATGGAGCGTGTCAAGTTTATCCTCCATTGCCATTATTACCACCAATACCACCTCTCAGACCCTGTCCCAAGCTCTTGAAGAATCTGGCTTCTTTTCTTAACCTCAGCCTCACTACTAAGCATATTCTGTCTTTTCTTCATCAATAAGTGCTCTTTTTCATTCCATTCCTTAAGACATTAGTATATGTGTAAAGAGATAATCATTACATACTGAAGATAAGAATTCATATTAAGGTGGTGGTCACATAATGAAATTTTATATGCTGTTACTTTGGATATATCTGTTATTAGGTAGAATTCTGCTGAGCGTTTACATTGTGCCAGAGAATGTGCAAGGGGGTAGGAATGCTTTTCTTTCTTCAGCTTTTAAGATTCCCAAACTCTTTTTTAATAGAATGCAATATCCAGTGCCATCTTCTGCACAAAGAGTGTCAGCAATGAAAAAATTCATTCTTGACACAGGTATCAAACTCAGAAAGGGTAAAGCAGACAAGAAGAAATAAAGCAAATGTGAAGGGTTCCAGAAGAGAAGATAATCAAATTAGTCTGAATCTAGCATTTCAAAATGATTGTTATTTCAGTCATACTTTTCATAGTGCTGTAAACCTGAACTAAGGACTCACAACTATTTGCTTTCATCTCTGCAAGTTAGCAAAGTCAACTGATCGACAATTTATTTGATGACATTGTACCTGACAGAAAATGCTGTTTTTTCACTCCTAGGAAACAACCCAACAAGTCCTCAGAATACATGTAAATTTCTTTTCTTAAAGAAAATATACCCATCTTCTTTTTTGCTACCACATTTCAGTGCATTTAAATTTTACATGATGCTCACACAACCTCGTCACATAAATCATCACCTTTTTACAGACGAGGGAACAAGTTCTGAGAGGCTATGTGATTTAATCAAGGTTATATGGCTAAAGGCAGGATCCCAATTTCTGAGTCCCCAGATGGTGCTCTCCTCAGGGTTCTACAAGACCCTTTTACACCTGTAGTGGTCAAGATCCAGGCAGGAGACAGAAATAACACCATCACTAAAACTGGGAAAAGCTAATATAAAGCATTAACTAGTAAAAGGAGACTGACTACTAAGCGAGGAGATTACTAACAAACACAGGAGTAGTGGTTTAGGGAGCAGCCAGTACTTCTGGGGCTGTGGGAAAGTACCCAATAACTTAGGTAATAACTTAGAAGAACCATGCTCTCATCCCTGTCCTCTACCTTTGGCTACCAAGCCAAAGACACAGACCTTATTGGAGATAATGTGGCTGTCGCCCAACCTATGGCAATGAAATTCATTAGGTGTCACAGTCTGGGCTGGTGAGGGAACCACCAGCTGGTGTGCCAGTGAAACTTGCTAGGAATGCACCCATTGGGAGGCCAGCATGGCTTATTGGGAAGCCACACACTGGGGAGTCAGCCAAACTTACCTAATGATGTGAAACACTGATCTCTTGCACACCACAGGCCAGAAAGCCACCCACTGACCACACAGGAGCAAGAAGAAAAGAAGAGGCCCCCCTTTTTTAGGCAGTGTCCCTCTAGCACCTTCTATTGACAAGTCCTAGCATTGGGTTGAGAACAAAGCAATGTTTACAGGCTCTAGTTCTAAATATCACAGTTCAGGGCAAAGATGAATTAGAAGCTGAGAAGCATGAGACTGTTGGCACATAGCTCAATGACTCTCTTGGGTTCTTGAGGGGGAAATGCTTTTATACCAAACTCCTACTCCATTTGTCTTCTTCTTCTTTGTTTTTTTTCCCCCTCATTACCACTACAATGAAATGCAGACCCAACCTTTGAGGATGCTATGTACTGATTTCTGGTAAGACACATGGTTAAGTGCATGAGGAGAGCACAATGCAGTGAATGAGACCAGGTCTGGAGCCAAAACATTTGGGTCTGAATATTAGCTTCACCACTGACTAAATTAGCAGCCTGGTAAAAGTTAATCTCTGTATGCCTCAGTCTCCTTATCTGTAAAAGGGGATGATAAGATGATGGGAAAAATAAATGTAAAGCCTATACAACAGCACCTAGCACATAGTTAGAATTCGATAAATATTAGTATTACCCATATGTGTTAGTTTGTAATTGGTGTTTAAAAATGCATATTCAGTTCTCATTTTCAATTTCCATGTAGGTCTGTATCTCATAGTGCTAAAACCCAACTTGTTTGGGTGAGACTGGGCTAAGTACCAAAAAACCTTGCGGCCTCCTGGGCATTGCCTTCAGCTTTGATTTCAGATCCTGGCACTGCCCCTGTCTCACTGAACAATCCTCACAGCAGAAGCCAACCCACTGGGGATCCCTCGTCTCAAGGGAAAAAAAGACACATGTTTAAATAAATCATCTTTCTTTAGTAACTCTTCCAGTTGACTAAATTTGATTCCCCTCTTCCCCAAACAATGAGTTACACTTGCGAGGAAAAGAGGAAGAAATTACTATTTTTAGTGCCTACCCACCTGTACCAGGCAAGCACTTTGTATGCATTACCTGATTCATCCTCATCATGTCCTATCAAATTAGTACTTTTAACCCTGTTTAAAAAATAAGGAAAATGAGGCTCAGAAAGGTCAAATAATCAATTCAAGATGACCTCTTGGTAAGCAGCAAAGCCTCAATTCAATTCCGGTCTTTCTGTTTGGGTGGACTACACGTTTTTAACTGTGCCGCTTGCCTCCCACACTCTCTTCATCTCAGACATCAAAAATCTTAACTGCTCAGTCGTTTTCGTACTTTGCTTTAAAGAGAAGAGTGGGTGTGCAACTTTTTTTTCTTTCTCAACCGTATCATTTTTAAGATACAGCGAATGAAATTCATTTACTAGTCACAGGAATTTAAAAAGTTATTCCTAACATCTTACACGAAATTAGCTTTGAATGAAAATCAGCAGCCCTACTGAATCTCTGCGCGCCTGTCCTCACCTCTCCTCCAGGCTGCAAACTTGGTGAAGGGAAAGGAAGCCGGTGGTGGGCCTTCGAGCTGAGCTCCAGCCCGGATTCTGCCGCGGTGCTCAAGTTCGGTCGGACCCTTCTTTTCCTCCTGTGGAGCAGGTAGCTGTCGGGCCAGGACGTCTTAAGGTTTCTTCCTAAGGTACAAGCCCGAGTCTGAGGCTCTCCTGGGCGAGGATGTGCCCCAGTCGTGTCCGCCACAGCTCCCGGGGTGAACAACCCGTTTCTCCCAGGAAGCTGCCAAGACCACCTTTCTCCCGCCCCAGCCCACAGCCCCTTGTGCTCCGCGTCTCCCAACCAGGAAAAGTGAAGCCCCTTCTCCTGGGACCCTGGAGCAGCCTCTCACCGGACAACTCCGCTGAGTTCCCGTCCCGGCCTGCACCCCGCAAAGCGATGCTCAGCCCACCCGCCGTCTGGGTAACCAGCCTGCACTTCCCCCCAACTTTCCGCTTCTCCGAGGGGGAATTCTGAGAACTCTGCAACGAGTTTGACTGCAAACAAAGCACCGCTCAACAGTGAACTCCTCCGCCGCCTCCCGACGCCGGGAGCTCAGGCCTCCCCTGCAGTTCCACGCCGCGTCCCGCCAGCTGGGCTTTCCCACGGCGGGGTCCCGGGCCGGGGGGGGCGGGGTCGCAGCGGTCCCGCCGGAGCCCCGGGCTCGGGGGCGCGCCCCAAGTCCGGGTCTCGCTTTTTCTGCTCCCGTCGAGTCCCGGTCTGAGGAAGTCCGGACGTCCTCGCGGCGCAGTAACCTAGCGCGCCGCCCGGGCGCGTGGAGGCTGAAGAAAGGTCCGCGCAGGGCTCGCAGCCCTTCCTGCCGGCCTCCCCACGCCGGGCCTCGGCTCCCCTCCTTTCCCGCTCCCGCCTCTTCTCGTAGGCTGCCAGGCGGACCCAGCCTGCCTCTCTCTCTGCCTTCACTACCGGGTCAAGCTGCGGAGGGAGGGAGCGAGACAGCGGCGAAGCGGCTCCCCACCCGGCGCGCGCGCGCGGCCCTCCTCCCGCTCCAGCCTGCTCCCTCCTCCCCTGCCTCCTCCCCTCTTGCCAGTACAGTACAACTAGTACGCACACACTCACACACACACGGACCCTGCTGCTGCCACTGCAGCTACCATGGATATCAGCTAACAACACACACCCAGGCGCGCGCGCGCGCTCCCACTCGCACCACGCAGGAGTGGCCCCCGGCATCCCTACCCTCCTTCCCCACCCCCACCCCACTCGCTCACCAGCTCGGCTACTGCTCGCTCAGGCTGCCGCCGCCGCCGCTGCCGCCGCCGCCACCACAGCTCTCCTCTGCTGCGGGGCCACAGCCTTGAGTGTCATTCAAGGGACAGCACAACCTCACCCAAGCTCTCCTACCTCTGCCCAGCCGTCCCTCTCATCCTCCCCGTTCATCATCCTCACTCCATCCAAAGAAGAGGGAAAGCACCGAACAGAAGGGGGAGGAAGGCAAAGTCTGCTCTTCTCACCTCTTGGCCCCCCTGCTCCTGCATCCTCATTCTCTCACCACCAACTCCCCTACCCCAGAGGAACCCCTCAGGAGCTGAGGCGACTCACCCCACTGCCATGTCCAAAAGCTTGAAAAAGAAAAGCCACTGGACTAGCAAAGTCCATGAGAGTGTCATTGGCAGGAACCCGGAGGGCCAGCTGGGCTTTGAACTGAAGGGGGGCGCCGAGAATGGACAGTTTCCCTACCTGGGGGAGGTGAAGCCCGGCAAGGTGGCCTATGAGAGCGGCAGCAAGTTGGTGTCGGAGGAGCTGCTGCTGGAAGTGAACGAGACCCCCGTGGCGGGGCTCACCATCAGGGACGTGCTGGCCGTGATCAAACACTGCAAGGACCCCCTCCGGCTCAAGTGTGTCAAACAAGGTGAGCGCAGCGGCTTGCTCGGTGCTTTGCCAGGCGGCTGGACCGCTCCAAGCGCAGGGCAGTGGAAGGGTGGGCTCGCGTGTGGAAGGGGGTGTGTGGCGCGACGGTGGGGGAGGTCGAGGGAGTACCCGGCAGAGCGAGTGAGCTTTGCGGGGGGTCCGAAAGGGGTGCTCAGTGGAAGGGAGGGACAGGTTTGCAGTGTGGCGTGCAACTTTGCGCAGTTATATCCTCCACTTTGGAAGGTGTTTGGCCTTGTGTGACCTCAGAGGTGCGGGCGAGCTCCCGGGGCAAATTGAATGTGCGTCAGTGGCACAGCCCGCAGTGGATGAAGAGCTTTTGGGGAAGGAAAGGAAGGAAGGACGGAAGGAAAGAAGGGACGAAAGAGGGAGGGAGGAAAGGGGAGGAAGGAACAACTTGAGGGTGCAGCGGCATCACCAGCAGGGCGGGGAGGAACATGGGGTGGCGGGGCGAGTGGAGAACTACGCCCCCCTTTTCAGGAGCCGGACGGGAGACGCCTTGGTCCTCAGCCGTCCCCTAAGGATCCCTCCTTGAACCTCTAGGTGACCAAGAAGGGAAGGGACAGATTGCTTTGGGCGCTTTGACGGGTCTTCCTTAACTTTTTCCCTGCTTCGCTCTTCTGTCCCCCTCCCCCGCCCACGGTCGTGTCATGTGGGCACCGCGCGTCACGTGCGCACTGACTAACCCCAGTGCTCACCCCGAGTTGGCCGGCGGGAGAAGGCTCGAGAATGAGGCGCGGCACTGGGAGCGGGTTCTAGCGTTGGGGGGTCGGAGGAGAGAAACGGTTACCCGAATGTTCTCTCCCCAGGGGTTGTTGCCCTTGTTGGGTGGAAGTTCCCTGTGGTTGGGCTCTTTTGGCTTCCGATTTGAGTGAGGGGTGTGTTGCTGAGGAGCTGGGTGGAAAAGCCAGCTGGTTTCAGGTCAGGCTCCCTCAGCTTCAACCTGGCTTGGATGAGGCTCACTTGAAGGCTGTGATGGGGAGGTAGGGAGACTGGGATCTTACAGAACTCTCCTTAACTCTGTTTTTGCTGAAAGGAGAATAGGGTCCTGAAGGAGGGAAGAGTGAGATGAAAGTTTCTCAGAAAGAGGACCAAAGGAGCGAATCTTTGTTTTCCTCACGTGATTTGTGTATGTTCTGTAGCTCAAACGCACATCTCATGTGCTGTATGTATGCATATATGCAAATTCGTATCAGGCTGAAGGCTTCTTGTTGATGACTTTACGTGTTCGTCCTGCCTCAGAGATGGAGTTGAGCATGCCATTGCCCGAATTTTGAACAACCCCATAATCTTACTACATGGCCGACCATCGAGAAACACTCGTAGGGAGATGTTCTTCTCTATAAAATCAGTTTGAAAAGTAAGCAAATGAAAAAGAAGTCTCTGGCAAAATTTCTTAAATTTCAATTGCCATACGAGAAAACGTTTTCGTTGGGGAATCTTCTGGCTTACTACTTGAGATAGGCTAATGTAAACATTGGCTTGTAGGTCAACATAGCTCAGTACTGTACAAAACTGAAGATTTATGAGTTAGGGAGGAAGGCAAATAGAGTATCTTGGTATTTTTCAGTATAACATACCAGAGGCTCAAATACAGGGATTCCTGCTAACTTACGTGATGTCGTAATATTATCTTACGGCAGTAGTTAACAAATGTAAGGTTCTGGTTTTGAGTCCAAGAAACCCGCCACACGATTAATGAGCGTTTTATTGGCAGGAGCTTGGTATTTGTAGTGGGAAGTGATGGCAAGAGTTAATGTGTTGTGAAATTGGACTAATGATAGTATCCTGATGAAGGAAATGATTGTCTTATTATGATTTGCAGTGTTGCCCACATTTAATGTTGTGTTCTTTCTGAGCCCTGTATTTTGAGTGGGACTCTGGCGAAGTGTATCTCTAGCAGTAAGAATGTATTCAAAAAAGAAAGAAAGGGAGATGATTGAGTATTATATTCCATAAAATCTAATAGTAAGACTTAACTTGGAAAAGTGAGGGCATGAAAGCTATCATTAAATAATGAAAAGCTTTCAAGTAAGAAAAGGAATTTTGACTATCTTCTGATAACACCATAGGACAAAACTAAGGTAAATTTATAGAACAATTTAAAAGATGAAACATCTTTGCCTGTGTTAAGAACATGAGCTTGCTAAAAGAAGAGAGACAAAAGGAGGAAGAGGAGGAGAAAATGAGCTTTCTAACATAACCTTTCAAAAATCTGTGGACTGGCTATATTGTGAATTCATGAGCCCCCTTCATTTGGGGTCTTTATGAAGAGGCCAACGTGACCAGATGCCAGGATTCCTATGTAAGCTAGGAACCTAGACCAGATGCCATTTCAATCTTGCAGTGGATGACTTGATCGAAGGTAGTCTCTGATCACCCACCTTCTATATAATATTTTATTTGAAAGAGTATTGCTTTTAGAACTCATGGAATATATAAATATAAAGTGATACATAAAGGGGAAAAATCTCTTTTCTTTCTTTGTTAACTGTTTCTGGGCTTCACTGGGTCATTGATGATTGATGCTGGTAATGATGTTCACAGAGCCTCCACAGGAACCTGGTTCACAACCTGAGTTATTATTGACCAAGAAAGAAAAAAAAAAAAAAAAAAAGCCTCACTTAGCTTTTGTGGAAAATATAATCTTATTGTATATTCTTCTAAATATCATCATTTATATATACTGTTCCCTTGTTGAAACCATTCTTTCCCTTGTCAAACAACAAGACAGGTTTATTTTATTTATCATTGTAAGCAAAATGAAGATTTCAGAATGTTAGATAATGGTACCTGTGTGTCTGGAGTTTTACTATAGATTTTACTTGCCAGAAAAATATTTAGAAGCTCTTGGCTCAGTGTTCTTATTTCTGGAAAAGCAACAAACTGGCATAGCTGAAAAACTTAAACATTGTTTGTTTAGCAATTTTATTTTTAAAATGTGAATGAGATGATTGATTTCTGAATATCCATTTAAACATTGGGTATTAAACATACATAATCAGGTAAACTAAGGCAAATTTTCCAAAGAAAAGTAGACATTTAAATAATAAGAATATTAATAAAAAGCGCACCAGATAAAATTGCATTGTTTACTCAATTTTTATTTACTTGTTTGGCTAATTTAGCATTATAGTTGTCATAATTTTATTTCCCTTTTACTTTTATTTTTTATTGTAGCACTTTATTTTTAAGCATTTTTGAAAAAATTAATTTTTTAAATTTTAATTCTAGCATAGTTATACAGTGTTATCTTAGTTTCAGGTATACAGTATAGTGACTTATCAATTCTAATAGTTGTTATAATTTTAAAATATAACTTTAAAAGAGGACGAAGTATAGGATTTTAAGATATACTAAACAAAGTAGATGTATCGTAATTTTTCTGCATTGTTTAAATGTCTTTAAAACCATTCTTAGAAGCCATTTAATTAAATTCAAGCTGCTTTTAATCCACACAGTGATGAGTCATATATGAAAAATACCATGTATTGTCACATCTAATTTGTTTTTATAAACTCTGACTTTTTAGTTTATAATAATAAACTTTCCTCACCAAAGCATTTAATTCTAAATTAGCAGATCTGTTCCATGATCTCATTAGTGCAGTAGACCCAGTTGAAGGAAGTTTCTTGGAGTGATTTTGAGATCTTTGCTGAAGTGCGAAAGGTTTTTCTTTCTTTCTCTCTTTTTTTAAAGTTTGCCACTAAACTTCACAGCAGCCAGTTACATAGACCATTGTGTCCTACATTCCTTGCACTATGGCTGCCACTGCGTCTAATCCCACATGGAGACCTACATAGCCTGGACTTATTTTCCCATTTAGGATCTTACAATGGAAAATAAAAGGCAAAAAGTTTTCTAATTCTTCCCTTGTGGAAGAAGGGCCAAATAAAGCCTTTGAAATTCAGTTCTAGAGATGTACATTGCTCTCCCTCCTATTGCTTCTTTCAAAGCCTTCTTCAAAGGAAAATAGATCCACATTTATTAGGAGTTATGCTTTCTTCTTGACTGACTTCAGGCTAGTATCAGTTAAACCTCTGTGCTACTTTTTATTTGGAAAGGTAAAAGCAAATCATGTCAAATTTTCTCCAATAAAGATGGAGTTTCCTTCATAAAAATTTAAGGTATGTGAATTTTATTGACCAATAATCAAACTGTTAGAGCAATTTGATCAGTTAATTATTTTAGAATAAATTATCTTTAATGTTTTGGAACCAGGTTAATGAGACAATTATCTTTGGGCATAATTTATGGATGACGCTACTGTAGTTTTTGGTATATGTACATAATTTAAATGGTATGACCTTGAATGTTAAATATGACAGTTTGCTTTTTTATGTGTGTGTTTTGAATGAGACTCATCTCAGGATGAAATCACAGCTGAAGTATTTAAGTGCCACCATCTCAGCTCTTAACATTTATACTGTGTGATCTCTTGGCATATTTATTATGCTCACTTTCTTTTTAGTTTCTTGAAACTCACACATTCACTTTCATAATTAGCAAAAAGTTTTCACATTTGACAACTCTGACTGCTTATAGTTTAAAACATTGGCTTTCAAATGCATAGCAGACCCTGGTTGAATCATTTCCTTCAAGAGGTAAGATAGAGTAGTAGTTCTTTAACAGTCTTCCAAGAAGACTGCTTGATTTTGAATCTTGAGTATGCCACTTAGTATGGGCAATATAAACAAGTTATCTAGTCTGGGGTAGTAATAGTACTTTGAGAATATTAAATAAGTTATGTATTTAAAATAAGGTAGTATCTGGCAGATAAGGAGCGTTATGTGTTACTCCACACAAATGTTATTCCAGACATATGGTCATTTTGAGCTAGTGACATATGAAGTGTTGTTAACTTTCAGGATATTTCATTCTAATTGAAGACTAACTGAAATATATGAAATGATTGACTTATTAATAGTATGAGTAATTTGCAAGTAGTATTCTTGAGGTTTTTTTGTATAGTAAAATAATCAT